ATATCAAGGTACATACCCTCATGTGAAGCATCAAGCCAAGCGTCTGGATAATCTAGAGAGATACAGATACGAGATACTAATACTTTCGCATGAAGAACCTACCGTTTTTATGTTTTAGTCAAGAATTTTGAAATTTCAGTAGGGCATCTGTCAGTTTTGGTCACTGTTTTTTATTTACAAAGGGGTTGAAATGAGTTCAATGGAAAACCAAATAAAATCGAAAGTTTCAAATATGAGCAATTGGAGGTCCAAAATGCCATTGGGCGATATTTATGCACCTAGACGGAGATTGGTTTTTAAGGATCAATCGAACCATGTAAAAGTTTGAACCTAGCCTGTACTCTGAGCTCAACCATGACATCTTCAGCTTTAGAGAAGTCACCCGCCATGACATAGCGTCTTGTACAAAGAAAATCCAGCAAATATTCTAGCAAACTATGACAGAGACAAGACACTAAATTAAAACTGGGAAAAATATACGAAAAATCAAATTTCATCGTCTTAAAAATAGTACTTTTTCAAAAAAATTCACAAGCTTTCATATTTTTACATATAATAGTTACAAACAGCTACACGAGCTACAAAATCTAGCCATATTGAACACACGACATTACATTGAACATGAAGGTTCCGATGCGCAAATTAGGAGTGTGCCAACCACCCCCAACACAACAACATTTCCAACCAGTCTCTCCAAGACTAAGCTATTCTTGTAAAAATACGGTTCTTTATACAGCTCTTTAACCTGGTGAGAACATTATAAGTAAGAAAGAACTTAGGTCAATTGATAAGCGCGAGAAAATTGCCAAAATCTTAAGACAAATATTAGAAAGAACCAGTCCTAGCCAGTGTGTTGACTTTTTTCGTCCGACAAAGAGATGTGAGGAACGACTCCCTGTAAAGTTAGTTCTAACCTTGAACAAATTGAAAGCTAAAAGGTGAATTTTGATTATGTCCTAGATAATATAATAAGAATATGTCATTTGATATGATTTTAAAGGCTTTGGCGAGTCGGCCCATTTGTATGCGAGTTGGTCCAACTTGTCCTGACCCCTCCTGACTCATCCCCCCAGTCTCTCTTGCTCTAGAAAATGAATTGAAGAGGGTGAATTTCAGCGCGTACATTAATTTCACATCTATACGTGTGATTGGCTGTGCTTGGAGTGTTGGGATTTAAATACTTGTAATTTTAAATAATTATTTTTCGTCCCATCTGACACATTGATCAGTGATCTGACTGTCCATCAGACACTCGGTACCATTTTGTTTTTGCCTCCTATTTCTTGCCAGGGCGCGAAACTTCTTCTTCTGTTTTTAATCTTACTTGTACCAAACTTTTTCTAATCAAGTTACCAGGGAACAAAAGGTTCGTTGCACATTTCCGTTTTCCAAATATTGTTTAATTCTTAAACTGGTTGATTTTAAGGCTAACTGATTGAACGAGCCTTCGTCACCACGGGGGCAAAAGACAAAGCTATGCTGCGCGGAGCGAAGTTTCACCTCGCACGTAATTGCTAATTGGATTGCCAATTACAGGGTTAAATTCCGATCAGCAAGAAAGAAACGTTCATAAATTTTTTGCCATCAACGTTTTGGTGAGGTTTCTATCACTACATCTACATCCAATTATAATAATAGATAATAATAGATATTTTTTAAAGTGGGTAGCCTGTACTAATCGAGTTAAATTTTTTACTACAGGGCCCACTATAAATAAAAGTTGGGTGTTCGTTAAAATACTTAAATTACAATTAAAAAGAATTGTAAGAACCACTATTTACCATAAATATACATCGAAAGTCGATAAAAGTCTAATTAAAGTGCTGTTTTTAAAAGGAGCAAACTGTTCAGCTTTGTTGTTGATGCTGGCAAAGCATTCCATATTTTAATAGCCCTTGCTTTGAATGTTCTAATTTGCCAGGTGTTTCTTTTCTGTGCGACATACAACTTTTTACCTTTTGCTGATCTTGTATTGTACCCAAGCCCGTAGGAAGGTCAGTGGAGTAGGGACGGCTAACTCCTTGTGTCCAATGAAGGCAAAGTTCAATTCTTAGTTTTGTAGTGGTGTTGGGGGGAGGGAATGAGGAGTTGGTAGAGTTGTGGAAAAAAGAAGCAAAAAGGTGTCTTCAGCAATAAAACAATTTTCTCCCTCTTAATTTCTATTCATCTAGAAAACTTTCAATTGCTGTGTCTTCCAGCAAAATCTTCCTTTCAGACAGAAGACACGCAAGATTGCACTTTCTCTCTGTCCACAAAAACTTCACTTAGGGGAAACTACCCCTTGTTATCTGGCTGATTATTGACTGCTGTGAATGGCTTCTCACCTGCACTAATTTGTGGCACATTATCACATTAACAAGTTTCTTCATATTTGACAGTTTGAACACTTCAATAGATCCTGTAGAAATTATTTCATAGCAAATTTTTGTGTTTCAAAAGATAGTTGACTGTGAAATCAGCCTATGGTACAGGCATTTCAAATTAGGGTTCCTATCCAACTTAGAAACTTGTTTTGTCGCCAATGAATAGAAGTGTCATTTTAATCTTAAATTTGGTGGTCAGCTGGCCAAAAGCATCTTTTTACAAGTACAATATTTCTGCTACAAAATCAGCTGAAATTTATGAATTTGCCTCTTTACATATTTTTGTTTTGTGAATAGACACTTGATATGGAAGGGAAAATATCAAAGTATCCAAAGTTTGAAGAACTGATGGAGATGCTGGGGTCTGTTGTTAATGAAGATTGCATTTCAAGAGATGCTGCTGAAGATTTGAATGAGGTTAATCATCGATTCTCTTTATGCTATTTACGTATCTATATTAGTCTTGCTACTTTCAATGTGCAGTTTTGTTTATGAAGCTACAGTACTCCATCCTGATTTTGCAAGCTGTTGTTTCAGTTTACAGTAAAATCTAATCTGTTTCCTTGACTTGAATATTATCAGAGACAGTTTGATACTGGTTGTGCTTTTTGCTAAACCATTTATAATGGAATGAATTGCTAGAATCTTAGTCATGGTGTGGTGCATATTGGAAGGATGGTCACATCATGACAATCATACACAGAAAATCAGGCCATTCAAAACCACACAATAGAGAAAAGCTCCATATTTTGTAACAATTCTTCTTTTTTAAAGTCCAATTTTAATGATTTTCATAGGCTGCTTCTTCACCCAAGTAAATGGTTTCTATAAACAGCTATTCACTTTGTAAAAATTTAACACCAGTGTTAGATTTTCAGTTATCATTTGATTTTCAGTGCTGTTTTTTAGACTGGATTCAGCCTAGGATATCATTTAACAACAATCAAATTTTTAGGCAACAAACCAGTTACAAGAAGTAAAGAAGGTGTATTTTCAAAGAGAAATGATTTTGAATATCATTAAAGACATTTTATTGGATAAATTTGTTAAAAGAGAAGAAGGAAAGATAAATCCAGAAGATAAGCAGGTACAAACATTTGAACTAATGTTATTAAAATTAAAGTATTAAAACATCGATCCAGAATTGCATTATTATGTGAAACTATGGGAGCAAGGAATGTTCTAAATTTAATGGATATTTTGCTTCTTGTTTCAGTAAATTGCAAGTTACTCTATATTCATCTATAAAACCTATCTAGTAACCTTTGAAATCTCATGTTGTTATGTCAAGTGCCAAATTACACTTCAGACATTTTTGGTACAGTCGACCTCATTTCTAGTTGCAGTACCATTTTCAAAGACCCAAATACAAAACTATAAATTAAGCTCCATTAACAGTCACCCTCTGTTAACTGTCAAAGTGTTTTAAGCAATATTTGGTGTGTCTTTAATTTGATTTTACTGTATATGGCCTGTATGTGATAAAGAAATAACACATATACACTCCTAGTCTTGACACTACGAAAGTATATTGATTACTTAGGGGATTTTCAAATTTGCATCAAATAGAAAAAACAATTAGTGTCTGTGTTGAAAGGGGCAAATACAAGCATACTGGCAAATTTATTGTGTTCTGAATTATGGGAAACAAACAAATAAGATTAAATTTTTCTACATTATATTATGCCAATGAAAAATGCGGTGATGGAATAGTTAATATATTCAAGTTGCAATTTTTCATCCAAAACCAGTTTAAAACCAAACTTAGAATATTTTGTCTTGAAAGCACAGATTGTTTTAATTCTCAGTACATATTTTAAGATGATTTTCTAATTTAACAGCTTCTTTATTTTTGTACTATTTTGTTAGTCTTGTCTTTTTAAGGCATATGCTGTACTTGAAGAGTCTGTTAGGACTGCAGAAGCAATTCATTTCATCAAGATGTGCTGGACAGATGATAAACCCTACAACAGTAATTTATTTGGCTTGACAGATGCTAAATTGAATAACAGAGCTAAGAAAAAGCAGAAAGTCAAGCATGTAAGTCATTGCAACTTGTACCAAAATGCATTAACCCTGTCTTTTGGCTATAAGCTGGAACCAAGCAGTATTAATACCCCTTTTCTTTCACTGTTTCCTCTTTTTCTTCCAAAATCTAATTTCAATGTTTCTCGTTTTAGTTGTTTGTTTTTATCTACCATACTTTCATATGCAAGCTACACATAGGTGTTCTAACACTGAAAACATTAGAAAGAATCTATAGTCAATTAGTTGTTTTTTTCAAATCTGACAGCAAAATAGGGGTGGGGCCAGACCAAGAAATTTTCACGATTGTGACAAACTGGATGACCTTACGAGGGCGATTGGCTATTCCAAAATATTTGTTAAATGAGAACCCCTCAAGGGCCTAAATGGGGGCATTAGGGTATCAACTGCCAACAGCTTCCTGTGATATTCCAAATGTGTGACCACTTGTAAACGAACAATTTGATGTATTGATGTGTAATGTAAAAAAGAGCAATAATGCTTTGTTTTCACTAGGAACAGGAACACCGCGATTTATATAGGAACAAACTTGCATGCATGATTTTTTTGTGATAGCAGCATTACCATGCAGTAATAGTTTGGCAAAGGCTTTGGCCAAGGCGATCGCCTGCATCAAACGAAAAGTTCTGGGTGGGCCTCATTTGAAAGGGGAACTTATCCACATTATTCTTATTAGGAGATTTTTACATCTTAGCCCACTTTGTTGAAGTTAAAATATTTTTTATGTAGGCTGCATTCCTTCACTTGCTAAACCAAACTGTTAAGGACACTAAAAAAACTGGAATGTTTTTGCAAAGTTCTTCTCAGCTACTTTCATAGTTTTATTGTAAAGTTTACACACATCATCTGTCTTTCATGAATACACAACATTTCACATTTTTATCCATCTTTTTTACTAGATCAATAGCTCATATTCAAAATTGCAATTAGTTTTCCAATGTCATCCCTGACGTTATTCATTGTTGATTATCTTTTAGACGATTCAACAGTATTTCATACCTGATATAGAGCAAAGGTTAAAACAAAAATGCATGGATTTGATTAGGCTATGGGACTCAAATACAGAATCTGGTGAGCTTGTAGTGTCACTATGGCCAATATCTTATCTTTTTTAGCACCTCTAAGATTTCAAATCTAGGACTGATTACCGGAGTTTGTGGGTAGCTTTTAATTTTCAAAGCATCGTTTTTTTCAGCAATTTGCCTGTGGGGTACCTTAATAGGTTTTGAGGTACGGGGACGTGCCATTATTTAGGGGTATATTTTTCTGAAAAGTGCAGAATTATCGGAATCAGCTTTTTAAATATGTGCGGAATTTTTAAATATATGGGTTTGGGTACCATTTTGGAAAAAAATGCAAAATTTTTAGGAGAGCAATTTAGTATTAACAAAATGAATATACATTTAAAAATGGAAGCATGAAACATTAGTAATACTGAGATTTTGGGGCAAAGGACATAAAAAATTGTTTGATGATTTGGCGATTACCAGGCATTTACGATTAACTGTTGCCTAATGATTGCTTGCGTGAAAATTTGGGTAACGATCTGAAGCGGTCCTTTTTCTATGTACCAAAAAGCGTAGCAACTTTTGTACATTTATAGTGAAATGTCCAGTTGATATTTTGTTATGAAACTCTACGGCCTTAATTTTACTTCTTTATATTTTGTTATCCCTTTGTTATTTAGAAAGTGATGGATTGGCGCTTGCGAAAGCTGGCAACCTTCCTGTTTTGGTTGAAAAGGAATTGAGTAGGATATCAGGCGAGGAGAAAAAGATCAGGAAAGAGAAGGCAATTCATCAAGAGTTACTGCTTCGCTATAAAGAGGTAGGTATTTATCTTGTTTTGTAGAAATTACTGTCCATTCTTACCAGTATTGTTTAGACTTCGTAAGCAAGAGATAAATACGTCTGTTTGGGAGATTGCTTGATAGAAGAATACAATCAAATCATATGCGCAGACACATGGCGTCACACAGTAATGATAATAATAATGATAATAATAACTACTACATATGGGGTTAAAGGAAATTTTTCCAAAAACACTAGAATCTTGCCCTTATATAAAGGGTTCTTGCTGTAATGTCTTATGCTTTCTGGAACTTGCTTTCTGGCAACGATATGTAAAAATAGAATAATAAAGTCTAGAAGAATAAATTAAAGTATCTTGTAAATGAAAGTTTATCAAAGAAATTTTATTGTTTTGCTTTTTTCAGATAGCATACGAAACCTTTACTGTACATAAATACTTTGTGAGAAAAAATTATATGAAACTTTCCGGCTGCTTGATTACAAAGTTTCTAGAATCAACATTACCTAACAGCTCGCGCGGTATGATCTGGTTGCTTATAGAATTTGTACCTGTGATGAGAATGCTTCATGTCTCACAGGCTGAAAAGCAGAAGATTCTTCTCGCACAGGCGTAGGAGACATAGGACTGAGAGGGATGCATGTCCCTTAACCAAGCAAAATGTGTCGCATTTCAGGCTCCATTCGGGCAGTTCTGTCTCGGTGATGCAATAATATCCAGACATGATCAATAATGAGCCCTCGTAAACATTTAGCATTCTCTACGCCTATGTTATTCAGTCGTATTTATAATACTCCGTAGTGGCATAAATTGAAAATGAGTAATTTTCTTTGTATAAAGACTCCTTCAAAGCAGTAGATTGTCATAGGCAACCTTTGTTTGCTTACTTGTATATCTCCTTGTGCAAGAAGAGGTGCAGCAGACATTTTCTCTTTAACTCAAATAAAACTTTGACAATTTCTTTCAAACTGATTAAAATTTCTTTAGATATCAGATAAGCAATGAGGCCTTTAATCTGAAAGTTTGTTTGAAATATCTGAAATATCTAGGGTCGCGACATGCCTTAGTAAAATGTGTAAAAGCACACATCTAACCACTTGCGAGTTGTTTTTCCTAGTAAATGCTTTTTAGTACCAGTAGGTGATGCAAAAAGAGACTTTTTTCTCGTCAACTTCAACCAATTTGTTTGTAACCAAGCTAGCCTTGCCTAAGGAGAACAGGGACAGCTGAAATGTTATCTTTCCTTGTTTTTGAGTCATGCGTTACCATACCTTGGTAAGGTTTCCAATGGAAGAAACTCTCATATTTTGTTGTATTTTTATTTAACGTGCCCTGGAGACTCCCCGTATCGCTGAAAGGTATCCTACCACCATCTTGAGCAACCGCTCGCTGGTAAAGTTTCCTGTATTTTTGTAATAGGCATTGAAAGATTGCATCGAAAATCTAGAAGGACTTTTGAAAACGCGAATATTGGAATCAAGTGCAGAAAGCACAAGAACTACCGTAGAATGGCTTGGAACGAAATGCGAGGCAATGCAGCTAAAAATCAAGTATGTCTTTGTTCCCAGTCCGTTAATCCATCGTTGAGAGGTACAAAGTTCTTAACAGCCTAACCATTCGTCTTTGGAAGCGTAGTTGGACATTTTCGTTAGAAGATTTATCTCTGGTAGATATTTTCGAACTAGCTTTAAATACTCTTCTTTCAAATGTAAGTTTTATTTTTGAAATGTTCCTTGGAATTAGACTTCTTCCACATCTCCCGCCTAAAAGTGTATTCTTCATAAGTCAGTAAAACTCGTGCCTAAACTACACAACAGGCCGTGCGACTGCCGTTTGATGTTGCTGCAGCTTTCCGTAAAAATATTGCCTCTCCTACATACTTGTCTTTGCCTGAGTCAATGATTAAATCAATTACCGCTCAAATCAAGTCCTCTAGAGAATTCTAATTTTCCTACTAACGATATTATAGTTTATCTGAATAATAAGAATACTTTCCAATCACATTTTCTTTTAACTGAATTCCTGTTTTATTCTAGAGTATTACAATTACAACTGCTAAAGGATACCTATAATCCAGATACAATTCCTGCGTTAAGACAAATAAGGTAACGTTGCATTTTCCTGACCATACACCTCAATACAATGTATCATTTTGGAATCAACCTTTTTAACCTGCAACTGATTACCGAACCTTGAGAGATGCACACGCCTGCAATACGTCTAATAGTATGAATATTAGGGTAATGCATTGACCCACCCGTCCATATAAAGTTGAAGTATTTGATATTACATCAAACTTGGGGGAAGAGGCTGTGAAATCTCAAACTTGCCTGTTTATTGTTATATTACCAAACGTCTTTTTTGCTGTTGATTTTTATCTACATACATTTTTGTCAGTCGTTATTTTGAAATTGAAGACAGGTGCATAATTGTTCTCACGTCCATAACGTCATAACCCAATTTAAGGTTTAGTGCATCGACCGGGAAGGAAAGTAACTTTTTTAAAATGAAGGCAAGTCTGAAAGAGATAAGCTGCCCTTCTAAGGTTGTATTTTTATAGGTAATAAACTATGAAAGTAGATTTTTATCCCAATCCCATTTAAAGCCATCCTTGAAACCCCGATAGTTTGTTCTTGCTCTTATCATATACATTACCTCCTTTTCTGTGTACAGAGACTCTTTGAACACAGCCCTCAAAGATAGTAAGAAGGAGTTGATAAAACTCGAACAAACCCTCAAAGTTTATGAGTCGATTGGTTCTGGATTCGATTCTCTGGTCAAGGAGTATGCTCAGCTGACTGCCGAGATTGACAACCGAAAATGGGCCTTGTCAGAACTTAAAAGAGCCCAGGGACATGAGAATCGTTGAGATGCAAGGTTTGAATTCCGTTATTTTCTCATTTTTGTTATTTTTCAATTGATATTTATGTTTACAATAAATTTCTTTTTAATTGAAAAAGGTAGCATCATGTAACTTATAATTCAACATAGGTAATGGTTAGATCTGATGTATACTATACTATATTTACTTTGCGCATCCCTGCTGCTATTCTGACTTTTTTTATTTTAACAATTAGTTTCTATCATCACCGTTTTTCTTGACCTATATTATAAGGTTTTACTCCATGTGTCTTAATTTTTGGATTAACTAATGACAATGTATTTGGTTCATCGTGGTGACTGTAATTTGCTCGTGCGTTTATCTTAAGCCTGGAGATTTGACAATCCTTCGTGGAGCCTTTCCTCTCAAAGGAGGATGCTTGGCATTGGTGCCATTCGTTTATTTTTTCTTTCCATAATTCAAGACAAAGAGATGTCCTATTTTTCTATAAAAGAGCTGTTAAATGAAAATGAAACGTTGAAATTAGGTAGTCAGTTTGAGCGTTTTAACGACAATAGATAGCCGAAAAGCTTTCTTGAAATATTGGCTCTCTCTTAGATTTCCTTACGGCTAGCATGTGCTTCTTTTGGGTGTCAGCGAAATGCCACTTTTCCGTGCAACATGTGGATAGGAACCTTGCTGCATTTGGATAGGAACTTGTCAAGCTGTTCCAGCCCAAATTCCAAAGCCGCTTGTACTCTGTAGCAAAACCCTTGATCTGCATCGCCAACTCTTGATTTCACTGTTGATAAAAAATAAGATATGTTCTTCATATAAAATAAACAACTTTGAACATATGCATATTCAGCATCGTTTTTTTACCCCTTGAAATTATAGCAATGGATATTGGTTTAGTCCGGTTACCTCCTCGGGAACTCGATCGTCTCGAGGTCTAAAATCAACAACCTTCGCTGGACCTTGATTGTCCTTCTTCATATTAATATCTCAAAAAAGTATACATTTCTCGATGGTATGTTTCTAGCACCAGGCTATTGTCTCTCGCAGAAGTATTCTATAGGAAAATAGATGCTATCGGTTTTGAGAAATCTTTTTGGAGATTAAGCAATGCGATCTTAAGAGCGGGCAATGAAAACGCTTGCCCTAAGGCACGCAGTTGTTATTTAATATTTTTATGAAAAAAGATAATCAGAATATGACCAGACGTTTATTTTGAATTTTGCTTTCTACTACTAACCCTTAAAAGAGTTTAACAAACAGTCGGCATTACAACCCAAAATTGAAGCCACTCTAGCGAGTTTGCTAATCAATAAGATCTTTTGGTCACCTTTCAAAGTGTAATTATTTAAACATATAGTACTGTTTGCATTATTGAAGGTTGTTCTGCTTTTAGTGCAATTTACAATGCCAAAGTAACTTAGTTTCGTTAAGCTTTTCACTTATCAGTTGGCATTGACTGCAACAGCGCCTTCAACCTCTCTTCTGTCGCCATGCGCAACTTTTTTTACTCAAACAACGCAATATGTTGTTACCCTAATCAGCATTTTTTAGTTAATACAGGTGCTATATGCAGCCTTTGCCTTTGTGAGCTGCACGTGGTCCGGATTTCGCTGTATGAAATGCTCTGTAAATTTTGACGACCCGCACAGTCACTGTGAAACAGTCTAGGTATGAACTCCAATTTAGCTTTGGATTAGGGATAAAAGTCCAGGCTGCTTTCTTACTATAGTAAAGTTCTTTAAAGTGCACTATGTAGGTAAGCAACCAAAGTAGGCCCTCATTAGGTGCAATTCTCTCTTACAGAGAAAACGTACAAAATTTCCAGCAAAGCAAAACAATTTCTACAGATACAACAGTAGGATTTCAACGAAAATTTTAATAAGAATGTACTTTTGAAGAAAAAAGTGAATTGTTATACTTCCTAGCAAGCCTTGCTACATTCTTATCCACTGACCTTTACTAGGTTTTAAATGAAATATAGCAGCTATGATTCAAAAGAGATAGCTGCTGTATTTGCGTGTTTTATTCTATCTTTACCTGTGATGTGTGCCCATTTCAGTTTACTTCACCTATAATGATAGAAATTTGCGTTTGTATTTGTATTTTTTGCTACCTAGCATCCGATGAAAGTTTTTTTAGGAAACTGAGAAGCTTATGCTTATCGAGCAGTGTCCTGGTCCTTCCTCTCGATGTGACCATACCTTGTGATTCCTACGCCTGGAATTACAGAGAGCTGGCGACTCTCCTCACTCTGGGTGAAAGTTTGGTCATGTCAGGGACTCGAACCACGGTCCCTTGGGTCTGTAGTCAGCGCCTCTAACAACTGAGCCATCCTTTCACTTTTAACGGCCCAACTGCTCAATATCCCAGAAATTTGAAGATTATAAGAGCTAGAAGTTTTCTTAATTTGGTCAATTCTTTGTATTTGCTGCTATTGCTTTTGTTATTTTCCTAGTTGATTTCGTAGCTGTTGTTGTTGGTGTTGTAGCTGTTGTTGTTATTGTTGTTGTTGTTGTCGTCGTTGTTTTGATATTTTTCCTTGATTCACCGGTGATCCTTCCAACTTCTACCCAAACCAACCATTTTGGTTTATCCATCAGCTCATAATTATTTCTTAAAAACGATCTTCTCTATGGTAATACTAACCGCATGATTAAATATTCAGCATTGATGCAGCAGTTTGTAGTTACTGAATTCTATGCCACAAACGGTATTTCAAGTAAAATTTACTTAGCTAGACGCGATGAATAGAATATGACAAAACAGCGTTAATCTTCTAGAAAAATACCGCAAACACGTATTTTACTTGGCTCTAATTCACGTCAAGCGCATATTTTTAGACTTTGCTTGCTTTGAATTTGCGTCTGAGCGCAGGTGATTTTCTTATTAACAGCGAGCAAAGATAATATGATAACTACGAATCACTTCTTGCCTAACATACCCATTTCTGTATGCAATGCAAATTCATTTTGTCTCTTTTGATTATAAGCTCCTATAATCCTCTTTGTTTAAATGTATTTCATACAGAGTTAAGAAGCTCATTCCTGCCCTGTATGCCGTTGGAGATATGCATTAGGTTTCCAGATTACTTTACAGTTTTCAAGCTTTGTTGTTAGGCCCTGGAAAATCTATACTGGGTCAAGATTAACAACGAGCCAGTGCTTATCATTTCGTGAGCATTACACAGTACCGTCTGTTGATGAGTTTCTAGGTTACAAAATTCTAAGTTCTGCAGAGTCTAGCCCTATGTATCCTTTAGATGTTAACGTTTTCTGAAGGTGTACCAAAATGAAGGAAACAAGTGTCTTGACCTTAACATGCTTTACCAAGAAAGTATAAATCTCTCGTGCCTTGCTGTCTTGGAAAATGTTACATTTCAACGGTTTTTTATGAATTAGAATATTCTTATGTAAGTAGACGAAAATATCTGCACAAAATGAAATCCGTTGTTGGTTCTTCGGGACTTTTTTGAGGCAGGATCATGTTATAAGTTCAGGGAAAATGAAGTAGAACTTATTCGCTCTATTCATTTTTATTATGCTGCAATCAGCATCAAGACTTGGTCCCCAAAACCCAAATATCTACTTGCAAGTGAGCTTACTTAAGTATTTTTAATACAGCGTGATTTCAAGGACCTGTATGTCCCTCATCCATATATCTGTTTCTCAGCGCAAGGAGTGTCTTATCTATCTTTTTATCATTCAATTCGATCGGACTTATCGCAATTTTCCCACCTTTAAGAACCTTAAAAATACATAACATACGTCAATGATTCCTTATATTTTAATCGTCCATGTGGTTGAAGAGCTTCCTCCATTTCTCAACGTTTACCTTGTAGGAAAACTCATGTATTCGATGAATCGTTACAGATATTTCGATAAGGTGTCTCACTGTCCAGATAACATTACGGTTCCACGGCTGTGAGCCGGAGGTAGCTTAACTAATGAGACGGCAGTTTTGAGGAGGGCTAATGCATAACTTGACAAGTGTATATAAAATACGATGAATTTTGCTTAAATTTTTCTGAAAAAGTACCAAAGATGACTATTCTTGAATTTTATTTCTATTGAATTTTTAATCCAAAGATAGAAAGGAAGTCTTGATTAAGGCAAATAGGGCGAATTTTCATCCAGAGGAAGATTAAGGGGTTTTCTGAACTCTTGTGTCAAAATACATCGAAGATGCTGTGACAGATTGAATTTTGCCGAAGAAAGAGATGAAGTTTATGAAGTGTACTCTTCCGTTGAAGTTTGGAGTAAGATTTAGAAAAACGAGAATAATCAATTGTGTATCGTGTATGTTGAGAATTAAACTAAACGAAATCTGCAGTTTGGTTAAACTAGAGAAAATTGCTGCCACCGTCATTGATTACACAAAATTACAACTAAGGTGTTTCCATTAAGTTTACAGAAATAACTGAGTCCAAGACAACTTATCAGACATTTTGATTAAAATTTTTGAGTGTGTGTGATTTTCAGGAGAAATTCAAAGCAGAGTAGCCAGTAGAATAACGGTTGTCTACTGCGAAGTAGAGACGAGGCTGTTGCGATAGCATTGCATGTTATGGAAAAAGCCAATGGGAGAATTTCTTCCTAGAGTTTGCTTTAAACTTAGATTCTTATACTATGAATAGGTCTTGGAACGTCTTGCTTAGAGGAAATTTGTTGGCCTAATCTCGGCCATTGGAAATTGTTCAGCGCCATTTATTAAGGTTTTTTGTTTCTATTAATACTTAGGCAAAAAAACAAGAAGTTCACTCTTTGTACTACCGTTGATTTAGAAAACAAAAATTAAGCACAGGAGATGTAGTGCAGATGATGGAGAAGGGAAATGCAATCAACTTTAATTTTATAAAATTTTGCTGTTAGCATCAAGACATTATTTAGTGCTTCAATTATTTATAGTCTGCTTATAAGGTTTGTCGAGTCTCTTCATCATAACTGTAGCTATCTTTTTAATATCCGTATGAAAACCAATCATTTATTGTTCCCTATGCCTTTGTAAAATAAAACAGCTAGTCCAATTTCCCTATTTTTATGCTGGAAATATTTGATTCTCGGATTCTTTGTGTGTTACACAAAATGCATTTTAATTGAATTTTGCACAAGTTACGTTAAAACAGCCAACAAGTAGGAACACGAAATAAAAATTTCGTTCAAGGTGGATATTTCGCTGAAAAATTAATTAACAGAACGTATTAATAGACTTTGTGGATGGAGTGAGTAAAATATTCGTAATGAGTATGGATAGAGTGAGCAAAATATTCGCAACGAGTTCGTTTTCACCTTAGGACTCAATTGGTAACATTCTCAATAGGCAAGCGGCACTGATTGGGCAACCTCAATATTCATGTGCTCGTGTTTCTGATTGGCGTAGAGTTTTCGAAGTTTCCGATTTCCTAGCGTAGAGTTTTCGATCTATGTTCTGACGTTTTATACTCTGAAGAGTGCTTATTTCAAAGCCAATTATAATGCTTTCTATGCAGCCGAAATATTCGAAAAATCTGCTGTGTTGCGACTAACGATCTAGTGCTTTAGGAGCTTTGCGGACTTTTGGGGGCTTTAGGACCCTAGCTTCGCCTGTTAATGAAAAGACGACCAGTTTTTTCACTTTATTATTCAATTTTCATACCAAGCTTGATTTTTTTCGAAACCACTTGTTCTTTACATTGCCACCAGGAAGGCTGAAATGTTCAGCAAGAATTGCATGTATATTCTTTTTCATTGACAAAGAATGACCTTGTCGACAATTGAGCACAGTTTAAGGTTTGTTTCGACTTGCGTCCTTTGTTACTGAATACGACTCCGCATATGTTGCTGTCTGTTGTGCGGTGAATTCTATTTCTATAGTTGAATCGCATTGTAATTTACAGAGTCAATTTTCGTCTGACATCGCCAATGACCTGACCACCATTAACAATCTAACGTAAAATGCTTGTTTATTTGATGCATGCGAAACAAGCAGGTAGATACTTGGGCAACAAATGGAACAAATAACTTAAATAACTGGTTAATATTTCGGCTGTATTTCATATTCTCTCTTTCATGGTGGTGTTCAGCCTGATGACTAAAGAAAATTTTCTTTATTTAATCACAAACCCTTTTATTTTAAATTGGTTGAAATGGCAATAGTTAATTCGATTTGAGGTTTTAAATTGTGTCATTCGTGGTTATTTTAAATGACTGGTTAGATTTGCAAAAGCACGTGCTTTCGAGGCTTTTACTGTAGCCATTCAGAGTTTAGCAAACCGTTGATTCTGGCTTCATTGTGCAATTCTTACTGGAATGAATATGATTTCCAACTTTTTATAAAACCACAGAGGATAGCAAAGAAAAGACCGGATAAATTTCTTTGATTGCCTGGAAAGCTGGCCTAATTACACAGGTTTAGGTGAAAGAGTCGATATTAAATGACAAAATTGAAAGCCCACATATTTTTTTTATTTCGATCTTATAAGATTTCTTCGGGGTTCAAAGAATTTTGTGGAAATTCAAAATACGTATGGCTTACCCATTAAAATGGCCAGCGGTTTTGTAGATGGGTCACAAACCATGGTTCTACTAATTTTCAAGTGTTGAGATAACGGATCCAATACTGTTTTTTCAGTCAAATCAAATTTATCACCTAAGTGAGTATTGCTAAACCCATAAACTTTAATAAGGGTCAAATCTAATTCGCCTTTCTGCCTCCTCTACAAAATACAAGCAGCGATGCCTCTACATTTATCGATAGCTGAATTTTTGAAAATTCAGTTAAAACAGTTTTCAAATCTGTTTATTTTGACCTCATTTATTTTGTATCCTTTGTTTCCAAATAGGACTTACCTGATATAAAAAAGCCAAACTGAGCCCCATGCCCTCCCCCCTTGACTTTTGCGTTCCTGAAAACACGAACAGCCCTGAAATTATGCTATGTTTCAAATTTTACCCAGGTCTGGTCTCATCAATTTAACATTAACATCTCATCATTTCCAGTTCCTTGATATTAAATTTAATTTTTATCTTGTATCACTACAAGATTTCAATCAAAGCATAGAGCAGTTGCTCTGTATAAACTATGATCTTTCTTAAAAACCAATCCAATGTTAGCCGTAAACAGAAATAGAAGTCTTGTTTTACTGCATTCTTTCTTGAAGCCAATGTCTCCGTTAAAATAGAAAAAAGAAGCAGATTTATTTAGACCTTAAATGGAAAGCAGGATTCGAATGTAAGTTAAGACCATTGAGCTCTTGTACCTTGAAAGATATTGCGGCACTGCTTCTAGAATCGCGCGTTTTTGTTTGTTTCGAAGGCGTAAGAGGATAAATTCTATAGTTTTTAGTAATGTTCAAATCACAGTGACCGAAATGACTAAGGGCTGTTTACCTTATCAACGGTATCTTTGTGCATTTTGAGCAGGATATTAGTCTGTCGCTGTTAAGCAGATCTCCTTGGCTTGCGCCGTAGGCTCAGTGTATTCCAATGCGCAATAGATACTTTAATAGAAGCCGGTGATACTGTAATCTTGTAGAAGAAGTTTCAGTGCTTTTCAGCACAGCGACTGTAATATGCCGTCAACGGTGTCTAATACGAGTTTTACAAAACAAAAGCCTTTCTCTTCAAAACTCTTGCTTTCGTTGTTTATATGAAGGATCTTTTAAATCATCAATCATTTTATGTAAAGTCCACTGCCCACTGAATAAGTTTCCTCTTACATATTACCCTCTCTCTTTACTCTTTTTACTGTTACTGGCATTACCATTATTAAAACATCGTTGTTTATTTTAAAAATTATTCAGAAGAGCAGTATTCACTTAACAATTATTACCAAATTTCGTTGTAATATTGTATGAGTGTGTTCTGGTCTGCGTGATATTTTAAGCGTTGCAGGTTGAAAATCTGCCTAGTCTTCATCCAAATAATGCGCAAGCTTCAATTGGTTTAAATCTGAGTCAACTTCTTAGCTCATAAATTATAATCCATTTTTTTCTAATGTCTCGAAGGAAATTGGCTGATATGCTAATTTAAAGATAGGATTTACAAACTATTTGTATGCGTAATCTTAAGAGAATGGCATTCGTTTAATCATTACAATCCACTATAGGTAGACAATCATGAAAAAGCAAGATGTAACCGTTCCTATAACATCTAACTAGTGCAAATGAAATGTCTTCTGTTCTTAACCAATAATTCAGTCCCAAGGAAATACCTTTTCTTGATGAGTTTTTTTTAATCGCAGAAGCAAACTCCGTTGTGCAGTCAATTAGATGTACCATTACCAACATTTCATTGAAAAGCCAGCCAAATCAGAGTATATCATTTACCCAGTGGTGTAACAAAGGCATCTTGAGCCCTTACGAATAAAAATAAAACTCAACCCCTATCTACGGATTGCAAAAAGGCCCAGTCCAGTGGTCTGTAGCATGTCAGACAGAATAGCAAATTGCGGACAGGTTTCTTTCTAGTTCACGAGGAGAAGCTAAGTTATATGCTTCAATTAAAGAACTTTTCAAGTTTTTGAATATAAGGTGAACTTGATCTAAGTCTAAGAACATGGATATACAAATACTTTGGGGAACCTTTTTGACCGGGCGCCCCTTAGCTATCGAAATGAGGTACCCGAAACTACGATACGCCCTTTTTGCCCCCTTGTTTCAGGTGTTCTTTAAGATTTGTTTGAATGTCGACTGCCTGTAAAGCCTATTTAAAACTGTAGATGATATGTAAATCTTGCCAATTTTAGGGGTTCACAGTATAAATATTTAGGGGGCATACCAGGATAAATTGAGGCGTTCCTAAACAGGGCGTAGTCCCAAGAACGGTTCGCTCATTCTCTCCCACATTTTGTCGGCGTGAGCCATCGCTGCTTGCTATGTATATCGTGCACATTCAGTGTGAAAGAAAATTCTGTTGTGAAATCTACTGCTTTGAATATAAAACGCACTGAGAAGTTTCCCTATTTCAACCTCAAGTTAGAATTTTTGTTGGTTTTTTAAATCTCTTTCCCCCTGAAAGGCTTGGAAACATGAATATGCTGTTTTTTCGCGACGGGGGCAAACATCCCTCAATGATTCGTTTGAAAGGATAGTTCAACGGTTTAGTGATGTTTAAAGTATTGTGAAAAGATCCGATAAATTATGCATTCCAAATGTAAACAATCTGACTTCGGCTCTATAAACCAAGCTTTTTTGCTATAAGCCACCAGAGGGTTGCCTAAACAACTTTGGAGAAGGATGTCATCAGATCAGAGAGACCTGTGCTGATCTGGTAAGGTTTTTTATGTATGTTTTATGTGTTTTGTGTATTGTGTTGAGCACGATATGTTTTACGGTGTTTTATCATGTAAATGTGTTTGTAATTTGTCTTTTTTTTAATATACTTAAAAAGACGTGATCAGTTATCGTGATTTTGATTAGCAAAACTGGATACATATTTTATTTTTTTTGCGACCATGATTTCGGATGCAATACTAAATGTTATATTTTGTTTTTATCTTTCGTTTTGATCATTTTCGCAATCTTGCTCTCGAGAGTTTTTCATGAAATATGCCAAATTGATGGGAAATAGGCAGCTGTTGAAACGACCTGAGTACTCTGAGAGAAAGTATTAAAGCTGCGGCCGACAAACCTTTTTCTCCTTTTTTGACTCAATTGGTTCCTTGTGGACAGCTTTTCAACTATTCAAATCGATTAGGTTTTGCTGTTTTCTTTTAAAATATGCTAATTATGTACTTTTAAAACATTGCCCTCATGTTTCTTGACGCATCGCCTTCATATTTTCTCCAATCAAACCCTTTTGAAGAAAATTGCTTTGCTTTGCTTTATACACAGCAATTTTCTCCAAACCAATTCTTTCGCCGGTCCCTTTTCTTTATAGTAAAAAACAAATGTTTTCATTTCATTTTCAACAATTTCAGTTCAAGTTCAAGAGTTTCTTTTTTCTCAGCGCAAGCGAAGTTTCTGTTTCTACACACAGTCGGTAGAGTTTATTTAAGGGCATTTTCAATTATGCCTTTCAAGTCATTATAACATAAGGTTTAACATAAGATTGTAATATATACACTTTTATCGTTATAATCAAAACTCTATTTTATGTTTCATGCACGATGCACATCTTTTCTTACGGAGGCATTTTTGTTGAAATTTTTCCGAATGTGGTTTATATAGGATATTTTTTCTATAGATGTCCATCGACACATCGAACCAGTTTGTTTCTATCAGACCAAGCAGTCTTCCTTGCGCATGGCTTGACATTGGGGCACGCGCAAAGGATTAATTTTAATTTACTAAATAGGCTTCCAATAATCGTTGGTATGTTTATAAATTTCCTTGGAGAAGAATGTGCTTTGTGGTGACCTGCAAGTGTTCATACGCATTCAGTACTTTAAAGGAAGTGTTCGATTTAGAGGAGGGAGATACGGGCTGTCGCTTGCTTCAAAAGAAGTGATGTAGCTTACAAAAGTGATTGTTTTAATGTAACTTGATTTGGTAACATATTTCCTTGAACTCAATGCATGCCATATATATTGATAATTCTCTTTTGGTATCACCCTTTTCATTGCATTTCAGTATAAAGTTAAATGATAGTTATCAAAAGGGGGAAAAGGGGCAGTCGCCCTAGGGTTCCTTGCACCTGAAAAAAGATCAATGTTTAAGCAATTTGCGTAGGACTTAAAAAGTATTAGTTTACTGTCATGAACAGATAATTTTCAAAAACCAGTGTACTACCTGCTAAAAACGTTAAAATTTATACGTTTGATTTGTTTCTTGAAATTCGCCAAGCTGGATTTGCTGTTAGAAGCTATGGTGCTCTACATTTCCGTTTGGATTTATTAGACTAAGATTCATGTATTATCTCTCCGTCCGAACCGAGGCCCTATTTGAATAAGAGGTTAAAGTTTGCTGAAAAGTTTCTTTGTTTATCAGGTTAATACATGAAAGCCAAGTAATTTTTTAAAAACTCATTGCTAACAATGGGCCTTTGCGAGCGTGGCGACGATCCAAACAATGGCAGTAAACTGTCTTCAATGGCAGTAAATTGATTTCAGACTGTCTAAAAATGCATTATGGGATGCTTGCGTAGCGCAATGGCTCATTGTTAGCAATGAGTCTTTAACTATTTCACCACGATTATCCAACGTCCAATCGCCTTAAAGTTGATATTAATATATCTAACGTGCGATAAAAGTTTGGATTGTTGTGACTGGTAGTTCGTCTTGTATGAACAAGATTAAGTAAGCCAACCTCCATTAACTTGACATCGTTTTTAAATTCAAAATTATAACTTCTTTGTGTGACGCAAGCAACAGCAGAAAAATAAGCTTGTTATTGGTTCACGAAGTCGATATGATGCACCAGAACTAATTTGGAGTGAAAGACATTGTCTGTTATCTTCAAGCTGTACTGAAGACAAATCTGCAGAAAGAAACTTACTAAAAATATTTATCCGTTCACTGTAGATGTTCGTTATTAAGCGGTGTCCGTCATTACCAAGCACTCGTTTTAAAAAGGTGTCCGTTATTGAGAGATTTCGCTGTAAACAGAAGTTTCCAATTATTAGTGGTTCTTCAGAAAACTTGAATATAGCCCTTTGACCCAATCTCTTGTACACCACC